AGCGGAAAGGGGTGAACGAGTGTCAGATTAGTATTAACACCACAACATGATAATTTTGTTTTGTTTTGTCAATGTTTCCAAATTATGCATATAGACATTGCCTTCGTGATAAGCACTAACGAGCGTTGCATCATTTTGTTAGTCGGCTGAAATGGCGCTGCTTTCTTGCTCCGTGTTGGGTGAATGGTCAAGAAATGACTGGATGGAAGCTTCGAGTAAGGGTGTGGCCGTCTCCTTATGATGATTACTGATATCCTTTTCCCTTGGAGAGAAAACAGTCTAACGGATACCGTCTGTTCTCTGTCATAACTCAACCGCATAAGAAACTACCATGGAGCAGATTGACCTGAAAAAGCGAATCTTATTTGGGTGATTGATTGTTCGTCACCAGGATTTGGCCAGGAGAGGTGGACTGCGTATGCAGAGTTGTCCCAGTGATTGACTTCCGATTATAGATAAGCGTTCCTTCGTATGGTGTTGCGTTAGTAGCGATACTCAAAAGTGGCCTGATTGAGAACAAATTCCCAGTGCGTGACATGCACACAGTGAGATCTTAAAGCGAAAAAATAGTCTTCTGTAAAATTTGGTACAAACGCCCGACCTGCCCGTTTTCTTGAGGGTTGTGGGGAGTTGCCCTAACGGTCCCTTGTCACGGTGGAATTATTGAACATCGTTTGACATAAAAGGCAATCCTCAATCAGTGTGGATGTACGAAAGAGTACCGAATATGGAGCTGGCATTGACACCCAATGACAGTTTCGGCAGAATAGATGGTGCGAATGAAACTGGAAAACGGAACAATTAATCAGTGGTCATCAACAGATAGTGATTGCGGGGCACCGACGGAATTGAACCGTGCTTTAGAAAGGAAATTGGATTTGCCTTTATAGCGTGCTGGCATCCAGCGACAACACTGCAAATCTATTCCACCGAAAAAGGAAAATTCCCGTCCCACAAAGTGTGGTAGTCAAGAGACATCTGAATAACAAAGTACCGCATGCAGTTCTTTCAAATTGACCATAGTTAGTAAGGCTGTACAATAGTTTGGAGAAAGTGTATCCGATGAATGGTTTTCTTTGATGAGTCGGTAAATAATGTCGAATTTTAATGACGATAACTGCAACCTCCAGGGTTCGATCTTGTCATTCCGCACTTGGTTACTGGAAGTAAAAACAATAGAGCGCTGACCTGTAATCCGTTTAAAGTGATTACAGAATATAAATGCTTCCATTTGTGTATAGATTCCACTACAGCTTGTGCTTATTTTTCGATCATGGAATGACGGGATAGATTACACGAAGAGAACGCTACTGGTCGGCCATTCTGCTTCACTTTCACAGCAATTGCAACGTCTGAGCCATCGGGTTCGAATAGAAATGGGGCACCATACTGAACGGTAGCTTTTGTGGCTACTGTTCGCAAGATCTTCCTTAATTGTTAAATGCTTCCAGTAGAGGAGATTTTTTGTGTGAATGAGCAGGTTAATAACGTGCCAGGGCTTTAGTTGATCTAAATCCGGTCTGATTTACTTGGATACTTCATAAACATGAAGCTTTATTTGTTGTGAAGTAATGACGCTTCTGGCTTCATTGAAGGTTAGTTCGCATCTTTCGACCACTCTGAGATTTTTGAAGATTTAAGTCGTGTTCAGCGAGGCCATTTCCACAAATGGTATTGCCTACGTAGACTGAAATATCTTTTAGGTGTTTTCATGTGATTATGTCGTAAGTTGTTTATTGGAA